CCATATAGGGTGAGCCACAGCCCAGCAGAGATATACTAAACCAACTATAAACAATGCCTAAAAGATTAGCAACTGATGGATGGTCGATACTTACACATCCATTTACATCTTATTACAATTCCATGACGGTCAAGTCTATGTTACAATTCACTTTCCGATTCTTATTCAACTTTGAGTTTGAAAACAAGGCTCAGTACTCTGGCCAAAACATTTGATGAGATTATAGTTCATCTCTAGAACATTTTCGAAATTCAAGGTGGATACACATTTTGGTGTTGTATCAATAACACATAAGTTACTTCCATACTTCACAAACGATGATGATATACATGTTAGTGCTATATCAAATCAAACAAACTTTTCAATAGATAACCATATGACCTATATCACTACTACAACAGATAAGCATATGAGCTACATCAATACTACAACAGATAAGCATATGAGCTGTATCAACACTTCAATGACAAGCATGTGAGCTGTATCAACACTTCAATGGGAGAGCATATAAGCTGCATCCCTGGGTCCATCCCCCATCTTCCCTTAACCATTAACCATTAACTGGTTTAGAGGTACATCCTCCATCTTCTCCTAAACCGTGGAGTACATCCCCCATCTCCTCCCATACACAAGTAATGCATATAAACACAGAATCACATACACAATCAATCGATACATATAGTTAATATATTCTATCAACTGTCCACACACAATGCATATAAACACATTGGCCAAATGCACAATCAACCAACACATAAAGTTAATGCGTTCTATCAACCATCATGCTCTATGACACATCCAATTGATTAGTTTTAGTTTACCTAATCATCATACATTGTCTACAACAATCAATACTACCCTCCACCGGTAGCCCAAAGCAATTATTTCTAAACAGGAAATAAATGCACAAATGGATAATATATCAACATTCCAATTAGGTGAGCAATAAATGATTTAACTACACCCTTTAGTCCCATACATTCCCAATTTCAACATTGCCAATTCAGTTCCTTATTTCCTTTAATCAATTATATACATTAATTAAATTAAAGAATTAGGGCAAATTACCTTAATTAAGAAAACAACTCTAAAGTTCCACTTTCATCCACAATCCATCATCCAACTTGCACATAGGTTTATTCCAAACGAAACCCCAATTTTTTTGTATAATTACACAAAAGGCCCAAACTTTCTCAAATCTACCCAACAACACCCAACATATCAAAATGCTAAAATTTAAAGACAAAATCTATAAAGAGGAGTAGGATATCCCTACCTCAAAAGATGGCTCTCAACGGAGAAGACGAAGAAACTCAACGTGCTCCAAAGCTCAATATTTTCGGATCAAATGATAGCCCTCGACGATCAACCCAACTTTTAAAAAGACCAAAGGTAAGGAGAACACCCTAGCTAGATCAAACCCTAGAGAGAAGGGAGATTCTAGAGAGAGGAGCTCTCAAAAATGGGTTTTAGAAAAGTAAGAGAGAGAGTGTGGATGTAAAAAGTGATTTAAAATAGCCTAGCTGTCAACTGATATACGACTCTCCCGCTCGAGCGGAGAACACAACGCTCGAGCGTCAAGAACAAAAACTAGGTCCGCTCGAGCGCAAAAAGTCCCGCTCGAGCGCCAAGACACAAGAATAAAGCACATCCGCTCGAGCGTGAAAACCAGTCCGCTCGAGCGTAGATTTCCCCCTCCCAGAACTTACACCAAAAAGGCACTACCCGCTCGAGCGCTACCAATCCCGCTCGAGCACAAGAAACCAGCTCGAGCGCAGAAAGCACATCTGCAGAAGTTTTGTAGAAGCACGAAATACTGAAACTGTGAAAACCCCGCTCGAGCGCAAGAAGACCCGCTCGAGCGGACCATTCAAAAACTGGGCAACAACAATGGGAGCTAAAGCTCTAACAACCTAAAACAACCGAGCCCAACACATTCTAAAACTCAAACAAAAGAGTTTAAAGGTTGACAACACGATAGGTACAACTACCAACTCCACGGAACCGCGTCCGGAAAATGACAGAACAGTAAAGGGATAACCGGGATCGCTATACTTGTGATCCTTATTTGGAAACTTTTTCCTTTGTTTATTTGTCAATTTCACAACAATGAGATTTATAATCTGCAGTGCAAAATATATGAAATTTATGAATAGGCAAAGTAAAGTAACTTGGATGATGGAATGGTAGCAAATAAAATAAGAGAAGGAGAAAAGTCTTACACACGAGGATATCCACTGATATGGTTTCAAGGACCACAATTCCTTCCGCGTGGCAGATTGTGCTTCCACGTAGTGCAGTTTCATCCGTACAAGACATTCCCTAGCACATGGATAACTACATGAGTTAGAAGGTATAGTACTTCATACATAACAAGTTAAAGGTAGTCAAATTGTATCCTTCTGAAAGAGATTCATCAAATGCATATCGTAGAACGAGACTGTCATAGTCATTTAATGGGTCTGGCAAAGGCACGGATGACTTGTAAAGGTATTGAGAAGAATAGTGCATAAAACAAATCAAGCTTGGTTAGTGAAAAATAACCACATATACAAAAGATACTATAATAGTTAGTTCCAAACCTTTGGGATTTCAGGAACAACATTACCCCCAAGTTGATCAAGTAAATTATCAAATAGCTAATACAAGTAAAAGAAAAGTAAGAAACAAACACTATTTGTTACACATATATCAAATATGTTTTGAGACACAATCATTTAGTTTACTTCATCGAGATTGTCATGAATATTATTGTCAACGTTGTTGTCAGTTGATGATGGCTTCAACTGTGGTCTTTTCTTCTTTACATCAAATTTCACAAAAGGTGTACGCAACCACTGACTGGCTTTGCAATTCTGGGTCCCTCGAGCGAAGACTTCGTCGCTCGAGCGACCAGACACAGAAAACTCTTGCTCGAGCCAAGAAGTTCTCGCTCGAGCCAAAAACTCAGAAGTGCGCTCGAGCGAAAGAATGCTCGCTCGAGCCAACAACTCAAACCCTTGCTTTCCCACCAACCAATTTGGCTCGTTTCTTTGCAACTGCCTTTGCATTTGGTGGTGTGAGGATTGGTTTTGTTTTTCTCAAATGCAATGTTTCCATTGGTTTTTTGTCATTCATATTCCTTATCTCATCCTCATCTACAAACTTCGGGGAATTGGCTGCAACCTTTTCGATACCACTATCATTGAGACCAACCATTTCAATGTCAATTCAATGCTCCTCATGTAGTTTTCTTGGTGGTGTTTTAACATGTCCACCATCAACTGGAATGCGTCGTTCTAACAACTCAAGAATTTGACCAACTTGGTTCTCCATTTTGACCAGTCGCTGCTCCGCAAGTAGTTTGCTTGGTGGTGTTTTAACTTGTTCTCCATCAACTGGCATGTGTTTTTCTAACAACTCAAGAATTTTTTCAACTTGATTCTCCACTTTGGTTAGATGTTTCTCATCCTCATCTTGCCTTGTGTCCTTGTGGCCTTGGACCAAAAGGGCATGAATTTCAATGACTTGTTTCTCAACTTTAGCCAATCGGGAGTCATCATTCTTGTCAATTCTTCCCTGGCTAAGAGTTACTGCATTGGACTTTTCACCAATGTTAGGCAAAGCCACCTATTCACAGATATACAATAACTTGTTAATGTCACAGGTGTAATGTAAATTGAGCTATAATTATAAAAGTCATGTGTTGTAAATATTTACCTCAACATTTAAATATCCTCCCAAAGCTTTAATTTGATTCAAACCCTGCTTAATTTCTGAATTGCCCCAATAGGATAAGAGAGGAATGGAGTTGGAAGTAGCCACCAACTCCCTTTTGCGAGCAAATTGTTCCAAGTAAAATAACTACATGGGAAAAAAAATAAAAAAAAAAGAAGTCATTTTAATGTGTGTTAGACAATATACAATAAAAAATAATAGATGAAATAATTACACATCAAGGGGAGGTACCATTAGAATGTGTTAGACAATATACAATAAAAAATAATAGATGAAATAATTACACATCAAGGGGAAGTACCATTAGAAGAAGCAAACAGCCGCACATAGCAGACCGCTCTTTGACCTTGGCAATGGCAATGCGGTCGACAAGAAAATCAAGGGTGTGCTTTGCCCAATTGAATTGACTGATGGACTCAACATTTTTAACCATTTTAATGAATGATTGGTGTACGCCTGCCTTTGTGGTGGGGCACAAGAGGGCTCCAATGATGTATAAGACAAATTTCCTTTTAAATTCAGTTCCAGCATCTTTTGTTTCAAGCAGATAAGATTTCAAAGATGTGAGCGGAACAAATTTATTCTTCATCGCAATTTCATCACATAGGTTTTTAATTTCATCTACGGACTCTGTTAACTTCACAGGTAGACCATTGGAAGGTAATCCCATCAACTCATGAACATCTTCTATGGTGAGAAGCATTCGAAGACCGTGGACATTCAATGAATGAGTTGAAGGATCAAAGTTCTGAACTAACCAATGACACAAGTCATGATCTATGTGCGTGCACCTAAGGCTTAGGATGCCATGAAACCCCATATCACTCACTGCTTGTTGTTGTGCTTTGTCCAACCTTCTAATAATCTTACAAATTGATGTAAGCTCAATTCGGGTTTGAATTTTTACTTTTGGAGGCTTTTATTGGACCACAGTTTTTAATTGGGCATATTGTTCAGATTGCAGCTTTCCCATTTGTATATACTTATTTTTTTCTTCTTGAGGAAGTTGATTCCATTTGTCCCCAATATCCTACATTACATGCATAAAATCATACGAACAATTACATACAAGCTTACAAGTACAAAAGGAATACTACAAACAACAAGAATACGTTGCACTTACCTTCACGTCTACTTTCATTTGGGTTTTTTTTAACTCCATTGATTGTTCTTGGCTATAAACATATGAAAATGAATATAAGAATTCATATAATGGAAAATATATAACTACATACAAATAGATATTAACGAAATACCAAAAGAAAATGAATGGAGTGATCGGGCGTTTTGGAGGATCAGTCGGCTTATCCATTAGGCTTCAATCAGAATTCCTTGTAAAGAAAGACAAGAAAAATAAACTCATAATATCTTTGATTAGGAAAAAAAACAAACAAACAAAAATCTTAAAGGTTATAGTACATTCATCAAATGCACGACATGCACACATGAATGGATTTGTTTTATAATAATGTAGTTAACAAAGACTATGTTTCCAATGTAAAAAAGAAATACACTAAAAAAAATTCTAATCATAAACAAAAAATGATACCCCAGTAGCTTAGGTCACATTACCATAAAAAATAGATTAAAGAAGTTAATTTTTTTGGACAAAATTTGTAATTTGGTAAGGAAATTTTTTTGTCGCAAAAAGGAGCCAAATATTTTGGCACCATACGAATTGATAATAAAAACGACATTGTTTTTTATTTTATTTTTGGGACTATTGTAGAAAAAAAATAAAAAACGATGTCATGGTTATGTATAGCTCCTTTGCTCCTTCAAGTCTCACTTTAGGTATACAGTCAGAAGGTTGAATATCTTTATTAACTGGTTTTACTTGCTTTGGTTTTAGCTATGTTGTGGTTCACTTTCCCATATTTTATCTTGCTAATTTTTTTTTTATTCTCTGCATGGGTTTGGGGATGGCTTGAACCACATAAAGCACTTGAAAATTATAAATGTTTAGGAAAGAAATTTGTTTTTTAGAATACAAAATACAAGAAATTAGAAAATGGGAGAATGATTTGATACAGTTGTATTCAGTAATATACATACACTAACTAAAGATTTGATGCACTAAGGACCCTTGCATACTGCTATACCCACTGCCACTCACAATTGAATCTTGGGTTGTGAATAGAGCTTCTCTTGTATTAATGCTATGCTTATTATTTGATTTTATTATTTATATTTATTCTGTCATTGATACTTTAGATTCATAATAAATAATACTAATATATGAGCACTACTACAAAATTGGTTAAAGGTCACAATTTTTAACTTTGACCTTATACTTTTAGTCTTAGTTTTTTTTTTGATGGAAAAATGTAAAATAATTACAATTACACATGAGGGTTTATAGAACTCTAATAAGTATATAGCGTATTAATTAGGATACATGTTAGAGTGTAAATCCTTTGGAAATTAGGCCAAATGTTATAATTTGCATATGGTACACATCTCAAAAGGGGTGTAGTAGCATGACCATACATACCACACATAAACCCATATAAACTCTAGTTTGGAATGAATCAATAAATCAAAGACCCCAAAAATAGAAGAACAATAATTTTTTAAAGGCATTTTTCTGTTTCATGTATCTTCATGCTTTTGTAGAAAAAGCCTTAAACAACAAAGAAGGGGGGGGGAGAAAAGAAAAAGAAAAATAAGAAGTAAATTAATAATTTAGTGTCTTTGAAGTTTGAGGGTTTTGAATGAAAATAGGTTTTTCTCGAATCAAGTAATTTTGATATTTTTTTACATTATTTAATGGAAAATCAAGATGTGTGTATTTGCTAGTTCGATATGCGGTCAGATGTGTTATTTGACATGAATGTTGGAGGTAATCCTATATACTCTATTTCAATCCAGATGATTTTTTTTTTTTTATATTTTTTTAATTTGCTTGTGTTTATCATTATTACTTACCTTCTATTGAAGCAAAAAAAAAAAAAAAAAAAAAAAAAAAAAAAAGAAAGAAAAAGAAAAAAAAGCCAAGGATGGTTGCTAATCCTGCTAGGAAGAGTGGGAGTAACTAAGTTGGAAGTGGGAGGGGTTTATCGAAGGTCATTATCTTTTGTTGTGCTTTTTGTTGCTCTTTCGTTCCTTATGGTCATCTTGGAGGATTAAGCTATCTCTCTCTCTCTCTCTCTCTCTCTACTTGGGTGATAAAAAAAATAAATTAGACCATGTAATGCCAAAGGGATGGCAATGAGGGGAAGTAATGAAGGCGGCGATGGTGGAGGTGGCAATGATGGGTTGACTAGGGATTTCTTACGTCTTAGAACAATCTCTCATAGGGGGTTTCCAAACATGGTTGGGCTTGATCATATGATAGTAGTTATGACTAATATGGTATTGGTTATGATATAAAATCATGTAAGTTCATAACTAAATGTATGGTACATCTAAATGTACCATAGCATCACCCGTGATGTGATGAGAAACCTCCATTTAATTATTGTTATTGATAAAAAATTACAACGTCTAGTGAAATTGAAAGTTTAACCCCTGAAAAAACAGTAATCACTATTATCCACCTGTAATTCATTAATTGCAGAGTCTAGAAAGAGGAGCACGTAAACCGATAAGATTCTCTGTGCTGCAAATTCTCTTTCTCGCATCACAGCAGCTTTTTTTTGGGTTTCACTTTTTGGTGCCTCTGTTTTTTTACTGGGTTTGGAGCCAATTCTTGTCGGTTGGCTCTTCTCTTCTCTTTTGGTTAATAAAAAGAATAAAACCAAACCAAACACACCACACAATTCATATATATATATATATATATACTAACAGTAGTGTATCAATTCAATTCAAGCCCACTTCTTATTTCTGTAGAAGACTATTGTTTTATCAATACTGGGTTTGGGTTTTCAAAGCTTGTTTATATCGAAATACTCATCTGGGTTTTATTCTCTATCAATAAAACAATTTATTCTCTATCAAATTTCCCAATATATTCCTTGTAATTTAATTAAATTAATTATTATTATTATTTTTTTTTTTGGGTTTCTCTGTTATTTACATATAATTCTTAGAATTTCAATGGTATGGTATGTTTAACAGAGGTGCATAATGGCCAATGGGAGATTAGGACAATGGTTGCAAATGCTAGTTTGTGTACTAATATTGCTCAAAACAGAAGGCTTCTATGTTGGCATAACTTATGTTCAGAATGCTGTTACAAAAGGAGCAGGTTAAAATCTTCTTCATAATAAGCCAATTTAAATTTTTTTTACAATCTTGACTATAATGTGTTTGGGATTCTGATATTGTGCAGTTTATTTGGATGGGTCTCCCCCGGCTTACCATCTTGATGAGGGGTTTGGAGCAGGAATTAACAATTGGTTGGTTCATTTTGAGGTTGGTCCTTCATTTACCATTTTGTTTTACAATACAAAAATGATTTGTTTGTTGTTACGAAGATGATTGAAAAGAAAAATAAGAATTGTGAAATCATATAAGATACCCAATTTTCTGCAGTTTTATTGGAAATTGAATTGAGAACTGATTTTTTTTTTTTGAAATGCCAATTTTCTAGTGTATTTAGGACATGAAAATGTAGTCTGATAAGGGGAGGGGAAAATGTAATCTCTATTACACCCTTTGTTACTTGTCACTAAGTAGATTGATGGTGGAAGGAAATGAAGTTTGTACAAAGTGCTTACAATCCCTCCAGATATAAATGTAGAATATACATCTTTTATCTATCTATTTGGGATGATAAAGTAGGAGCTTGAAATGTAGATTTAATGAATTTGGATCCATACCTGTTATATTAGCAACCTATATATATGTTTGCATATAAAATTTACTAAAATTAAAAACCGAAGAAAAAAATGGGAGCCAAACAGGGGTAGTTAATATCAATATGCTTCAAGAATTATATAGAAGCTTACCTTCAAGGATTATATACTGTCTTATACCAGTATAGAGAACTAATTATAGAAGTATAGTAGTCTATTGAATATTTTCTAAACTAACCGAACAGGATGTCGAGCAGCCGAAGTGATGTCGCAGCCGGAGTGAACAACGGTAAGAGTGGTCAGAGTGATCCACGGGAGCTCTGATGAAGGCAAAAGATGAGAGAGGAAAAAAAAATTCAAGAAGTTAATAATATTTTTCCATATATGTATAGATTGGTCTGTGCAGAAGTTAAAAAATTCAAGAAGAAGTTTAGCTTATTTTATGTTTGAATTCAAGTAAAAGAAAAGAAAAGAAATTCTGCTGGAAAGAAATTCTATAATATTCAAGTTAACTGCTGGAAAGAAATAATATTGAGATACATTTTTTGCAGCCTGTTAATATTATAGATTTGAAATCTGTTAATATCAATAATGAAGGCTGCAAAAGAAATTCAAGTTAACACCATAAGAAATCTGCTGGAAATCTGCTAAAGTCTTGATAATGAAAACAGATATTAAAAATCTAATGCATTTCATACTTCACATTCCTTCTATTTAATAGATTTGTACACCATACTTTTGCTAGAAAGGAGTTTATTGTGGTAGCAAAATTTTAAGGTCTTAATCCACACCTTGAACTGCAAACTACATTCTATTCAATTGGAAATTTACTCACAGAACCAGCAGTATAGAAGACAGTTTTCTTACCAATCAACAAAAGAACATAAAAAAGCTCATCAAGATAGCAAACATTGAAAGTATTTAAATAATAGCACATGTAAAGTACCACCTGGCCCCCTGGCCCAAGAATGCAAGGAGTTTTGGGCACAACTGGCACTGCCAGGTGATTTTTGTAAAGTTTCCTATCAATGGTCATCCGTATAGGCAATTTTCAGACCATAAGTGTTTTGATTAATTTTTAATTTGATTCATTAAACCCAGAATTTCATCATAATGAAGTACTTAAAATTTAATCCTTTTTTTTTTTTTTTGTAGTTGAAGTGACATACTGCTCACAAAACAACATAAGGAAGTTAGGAAGAATTAGGATTCCTTAATGTTGCTTCTAGTCCAAAAGCTATAGGAGAGGAAACACTACTAAAAAAACACTTTTTGCGACCGTTGTAAACCGTCACAAATAATAAAAAAAACAGTCACAAAAGACTTTTTGCGACAGCCCATGCGACGGCAAATGGGGGTGGGGAATGTGGGGGTGGCAAATACTTTTGCGACCGCCTAAACTACTTATGGTGACCGCTATTTTGCCATCGCAAAAAACAAAGAACAACACATGATTTTTGGCAACCATCTTGTTACGGTCGCAAAAAAAAAAAAAAACAAGAAACATAAAAGTGCAACGTTAAGCACTCTAGGAATAGCAATGACAAGAATTTAGACAATATAGCATTGTAGTTTAATCAGGCATTCCATTTGAGTCTCAAAATTGGAGCCATATGTGAAAGTTATTACAACTAAAAACTTGGGAAAAGTTCTTTTATGAAAAATATACAATCCAGATAAAATGCTAGTAAAGTCAAAATTTACAATGCTGGTGTTCACCACTGTACAAGGTACCAGTCGAGTTCTAATTTGTAACCATGGAGATATATGTTCCTCAAATCCAAGCTTGCACCTGATCAATACACATTATGAGGAGAAATAGATCAGAACATAGAGTATCCAATTTCTAGATCTTTCTTTAGACATAAAGCCTCAAGCAAAGCGGAGAAAAGGCAGAGATTGCAAATAAATAAAGAAAACTTAATAAAACAGCAAAATAATTCAATGCTTGTGTTCACTATTCTAGAATGTGTACCTTAAATCTTCTTCTTAGGTTCCTAGAAAAGTTAAATGCTATGTATGTGGGCTAAATCCAAGCTGCCCGATTTTCATCCTGCCAAAAAAAAAAAACAACAGAGCAAGTCAATTTTCTACTAATTTATATCTATACTTTGGGGCATTCAAATAATAGTCCAAGCACATAACCCTATCAGACACCATACAAATGCTGAATAAATTTGTATTTAATCACTACCTAGAGCTATTAATATCATAATGCAGCCTTATGTCATATATATGGGGAGTTCAAGAAATGGTGATGGATGAGGCAATGCCACTGTTGCAGAGTAAGTAGCACATCTGCAACTATTATCATCCATCATTCCAAGGTTGTTAATCTTGTGATCTTTTTACAATAATGAGAACTAAAAATTTGGATGCATTAATCAACTAAACACATTGCAACAACTCAAAAGATTAATTTGCATCTTGCAAAGTGTATGGTTAAGGAAGACACCTTGCATGGAAAATTAGGGTCCAAAACCCATCCCCACAAACACAACTATAAAATCTCACGATTTCATTTCATGAGAACTCATAAACACAACCATTCCAGTAAGAAGTGTTGCCTTTGAACAAAAGAGCTGCCAAAAACAAAGTTCAGGTTGCATGTACTCTGAAATACAAGATATTTTCCTTGTCTTTTCTTTTTTTCTTCTTTTTGAGTTGGTACAAATGCAAAATCCATGCACACAAAGAACAACTCCAAAAGCATAATGTTTTTTTTTTTCATAAACATATCAAATGCATTGAAAAAACAAAATTAAAAATAAAACACATCAATACATGAAAATATATTAAATAACAATAAAAAAGAAAAGGAAGCAAGGAAGGTAGAAGCCTGTAAAATTCAACAGAGAAAATGAAATATGACAGCTACCCTTTAAGAAAGGTGCTAAATATTGAAACAACTACAATTGTATTGAAAAATAATCACCAGAACAATGTCATTGATAAAACAGCTCACCTTGAGACAGCAATTTCATAGAGAAAGGAGACACCTTCAAGATTCGGTATGGGTGGAATGTGATCTTTTTTCCCATTCACAAATTTTACTATCTAAAATAAAACCTCATGAAGAGATGCTTCAAGTGCTGCCCTCCGATGACTTCTCTCATCCAGAGCACTCTCTACCATCATTCACAGGGAAGCATACATCATTATGAGTTATTACTAAAACATTAATAAAAAGAGAGCAACGCACTGTAATGAACATACCTCCCGGGTCTACTACTAATTTGGAATGATGAGAAATGACAGCGAAATGAATCAAATAATCATGTCAGCGAAATGAATCAACTAAACATGTATTGTTCTATTACTTCAACTTTCTGTTACCATATAATTTGACAATCCATGTTAGAAGTATAAATTAGTTGATCATTTCAACTTTCTGTTACTTCAATAACGTCAATTGTTACACAGTGCCAAATGCCAGTGGGCAGTGGTCACTTTCTGTTTGATGCATTTCAAATTTGAGAATTTATTTAGTACAAGCCTTTCTATAATTTGACAGCAGATCTTTGAAGTACTAGAATGAAAACAAATAATCAGCAACAATGAGAGCTAAAAGAATTTCAGCTAACATGGATTGCTCCACCAATAGCAAGAAATGACAGCGAAAGTTGAACTCCTAATCATGTATCATATGGAACATTTCAAAACTAATCACATTTTTCTCTAGTCTCTACTATAGGAGATAGCTAATCCATAAGCATTTCATGGTGAATGATTGCAACTTTTAGCTTTAGAATCTTAGTCCAGGTGAGATGAATCAGTCCAATAGTTTTATCCGTGGGAGAAAAAAATACAAACCTAATTTCAAAATCTTTGATCATATAATATACATAATTATGTAGAGTACTAGAAATATGAATCAAATATTTAGTGAAAGGTTTAAAACTTGAAGCAAGAGTGTTTTACATGTTTATGAGTTCATAGCCCACGAGGTTAATCATTCTGTTGCAGACTAGTGAACTAAGGTCTGTTTTGGTGAGTATACAAACATATATATATTCACATATATATATATATATGTATATCATTTGTTTTTTTTCTTAGTGGGCTCGTTAATCAAGCTTCAATTCAATCATCATAAAGGCACTAAGTAGTGATGCAGAGTGATATCAAATTGAATTAGGTGTTTCAAGTTTTTGTTTGGGCATTTCATTTTTATTAGGGATTATTAAAATTTACACTTAAGTGAATGGCCATTTAATTGCACTCAAGTCAATTAAAAGCTTAAAATTAGTTTAAGGTCATCCTATTATGAATATATTTTTTTTTTTGGTATGTGAGAATTTCATTAAAAGAAACAAAGAATATAAAAATCAAGGGAGGCATACCTTTCAAATACCAAAATCAAGAAAAACACGAAGCAACTAGACTCATTTGGAGCAAAAATTCTCTCAAAAATCTACCAGTTTTTACACAATAGCAGATTAGAGTAAGATTGCTTAATAGATGCAAACTGAGAACATTGAACTCTAATATTAGAATTAATCTAATTCATCAAATATGCAGGCCTATGACATCCTTTGAAAGCCCATGATTTCTCTCTTGCCAGATTTAGTATACCGCTGTAGCCTAAACAATTTTCCTCACTATATGGAAAAAAAAATTCCCACTAAATTGGTTAGCAATCCATGATATCTAATTATCCCTAGAATGTTGAGCCTTAGAAAAGCAGCAAATCTGCTCCCAAATTGCTCTAGAGAAGGAACAATTAAAGAAATATGAGAAAGAGACTCATCGTCTTTGTGGACAAACGAGACAAGTAGTGAATCAATCTCCCCCCAATCTTTGAGCCTGCCTTAGTCCTAAGCCTGCCTCTAATGGCCATCCAAAAACAAAGCCGTGTCTGGGAATGTACTTAGGGAACCAAATAATCTTATGCCAAATCACAAAAAGGGAATGAGGCTTGATAGCATCCCAAGTGTTGTAGCTTTGTATTTAAGAGAGGAGGAAATAATGCACTGAACCTCATCATCTCTAGAACAATTGGGCTGAAAGGGAGGCATTAGAGAGGGAGGGAAAAGCCAGGTCCAACGATATCCTTAACAAAAGGTCTGGCAATGGATCTAAGATTAAGAACCTTTCTCCAAGTCCAGGAGCAGTCAGAAAGGACTGTAAAAGCCCAAAAGCATTTGCCTCTAATAAGATATCTATAGCACCATTGAATTTATGGGTGTAAGAAAAACCAATGAAACTAGACTGACTGCTCAAGATCAATTGAAATTTTGGTTTGTGATCTATTTTTCATAACGTGCGATCTGTTGTGGTTTTAAAATTTTATACACTCATACAAACTAAAACGACTGAAATATTATATTTAAAAATTTTGAGCATTAGAAGATAATTGACTAACAATACACAATTTCTAATAAAAATTAAGGAGGAAGACATTTATAGAGCAAATTTCACTATTTTACTTCATTTATTCTCAATGTGTGATTGTACAAGTTTTTATAAAAACCCTTTTAAAATCTCATGTTCCCTTCTCTACACCAAACCGAGAAAACTGAACCGTAGAATGTGTCTGCTTTGGTTCCTTAACCAACAAAACCGAAAGGTTCGGTTTGGTACTAAACTTTCCCTTGAACCAAACCGCTTACACCCCTAATTGAATTCACAGTTGAATGATGTTTAGAGTAAATGATCCAAATATGCCTGAGGAAATAAGCATGGTTCCAATCTAGAAGATTTCTTATGCCAAGACCTCCTTCTATTTTGGGCAAGCAAAGAGTCCCTCAAGCGAATTTATTAGAATGAAGGTAAGAGTTGGTCCCTGTCCACAAAAATCCTAGGCAATTGCTCTATATGCAAGCATACTGACTTGAGGAGGATAAAGTGCATAGACCAAAAAACTTGCTGAAGATAATAGACTAGATAGTGTGAAGTCTACTATTGTAGGAAAGAAACTAACTTTATCAATGAGACCTTTACAATTATCAGCTGAGAGCTAACTAGAAATAAGGGGCACTCCTAAGTATTTGACCGGAAGGGAACCAAGTTGAACCCGAATTAAATTGCAAAAAACTATCTTAGATTGATCATCAATACCAATAATGTAAATCTTGCTTTTGCTCTTTTTTGGCGGAAGGCCAGAAAATTTATTGAATTTAAGAAGAGCATTAAAAACTATGTAAAAGGACTGATCATTCGGATAACAAAAAACAAAGAAATCGTCTGCAAAGCAAATGTGCCTAATGTTCAATTCATGAATCATGACACTTTGGATGAGAGGAAAACAAGCCAGAACTGATATGGTTATGAAAGATTATGTAAAAAACTCCATAACGAGGATAAATTCAGTATATTATGAATTTATTTACAAAGAAGTTAAAAGTTTTTATTTTGGTTAGTCATTTTTAAGCTTTGTGGAAATGTTCCACAAATAAAAAGGTTGTGCAGAGTTGAAGTAGCCGAGGCTAAGACGACAACACATTTTAACATCTCCATTGGAACACCCATATAAACTACTTCATGAACAAACCCTTAACATACAAAATTAGACTCCACTTTTTGTCATATAATACACTTTAACAAACATTTTTAACATTTCCACTAGCCTTCTTAGTTAATATGGAAGAATGCATTATCAGAATAATGCATTGTGATAAAAAAAATAATAATAATAAACATGGAGCTAAAACAGAAATATTTGTGATAAAAAATATCAGAGAAAAAAAATTCAGATGTGAATTTTAAAAGAGTCTGCCACATAGGACCAAAATCAATCCTCTATAGAGAACACTAAAGCAAAACAGAGGAGTCATAAAATCAACATCTCCATCAATCAAATATAACTCGAATCTTCTGAATATTTCATAGGTATATACATATAAAACTCAAATTTCACATTCTACATGAACACAGATCTCAGAATAGCACAATTCGATTAACACAAAAAACAATTGAACAATACTAATTTCACATTAAAAAAAAATTAGAAATTGACAAACTCAAATCCATCTAAAACAATTCCACAACCTTGAGCAATTAGATTCAATTTTCAAAATCCAATTCACAAAAACCTCAATCAAATTCACCAAAACACATTTATATCAACATCAACCCAATCTTTGCCGACTAACATTTAAACTTCACACTACACAATCTGAGTCATACTTCATAGATACATGTAAATATGTATGTATAGGCGCAGAGAGAGAGAGATTGAGAGAGATAGAAATTGGGAGAGAGGAAGAGAGAGAGATTCATACCGCCGGATATCTCAGACGACAATGGTGAGTGAAAGAGCGAGCAAGAGAGCAGAGCTATATAGGTTTGTGATACGTGAGAGAGAGAGAGAGAGAGAGAGAGAGAGAGAGAACGATCGGTGTTTGAATTTTTCTAGAACTAGGGCAAATATAAGGAAAACGGGTAAAAGGGTTAAAAAAAATAAAAAATAAAAAGGAATGAATTGGTTATTTGCGACGGGTAATCAAATGGTCACAATTATATAGTAGCAAAAGGTCACTTTTCTAGTAGTGAAAGGAAAGGAAGAAATAAGCTATAAGTGGCTATCAGTTCAAGTATGAAACACATTAGTTGAGTGAACAAACTGCTAAAGGAGTTCATCACAGCCAAACCGTATAGCTCAATAAAATCTGCAAACACCATAAAATCTGCAAACCGTATAACTCAATAAGCATTCAAGATCCAATAAAATCTGCACACACCATAATAACTCAAAACTAAAATCTACACACACTAAAATTTGCACACACCATAATAAAATCTGCACATAATAAAATCTGCACACAATAAAATCTGCACACACGGGTAATCCAAATCCAAACCGTATAACTCAAACCATATAACTCAAAAACACAAAACAGAGCAAGGAAAACAGATGGCAGACACAGGGTATGGGGGAGACAAAGAGTAGATACTGATATAAACACAGACAAATCATCCATATGGCGGGAACACCCATTGATCTAAACCATCCATAAAAATTAATATCAGATATTCATTCTTCAGTTCTGAAATCAAAGTGGCACAGCTATTGGATATAGATTTTAATTTTCATTGAGAACCAAACTTAATATCAGATATTCAATAAGGGTTAGGGTTTTCAAATCAAAAGCCCTAATGTAAATGAAGTTTAGAGTTAGAAACAAACCTGAGCCACAGAAAATATCTCTTGGAAATATTCGATTTGAATGGAAGAAACTCTAGTTCTTGACGTCAAGAGAGTAAGAGGTTACACTGAGAGAATGGTGGTCCCAACGCCGACGGGGCTGGTGGTCTTCGGCAATGGCTGAAGCTCCAGCTATGGTGGAAGAAAGGAGGGAGGAGAAGAGAAGAGCAAGAGCAAGAGCACGAGCCAGAGAGGGAGGCCAACTGGCTTCGGGACTGTTGGACTACTCTGACTTTGCTCTGTTTGGTAACCGGGTACACCGGTTGCCTAATTTAAGAGAAAAATTATTTAATAACTTAGTTATGACCTGGTTATGAAGTAATATGGTATAAGTAAATAATTGAATATAACTAAGTTATGAGTTAATATGGTGGTAGTTATGACTAATATGGTATAGGTTATGATATAAAATCATATAAGTTCATAACTAAATGTATGGTACATCTAAATGTACCATAGCATCACCCCTCAAACATATTTTGATCTTCCTCCATGCCGAAAACAACAATACCACTGGCTTCGATGAGTCTCGGCTTCGTCTTTGGCCTCGGCTTCTTCGCACTCTTTACTCTGCAGAATATATCATCGAATCTTTCCTCCTCAACACCCAACAAAGGAGACCATGGATCCAAATCCAGTTCACCTACAAAATGAATAAAATTGTATGGAGCTTCAGAGATGTATCCACTCAATTATTTCCACATCAACATCGACCGGCAACACAACAAGACGAATACAATATCCTCGATCATAAGAAATTTAATCAGACATTCACAACACACGAAAAAATGCAGCACGATGTACTTGTTGGCCGTGGAGATGTCGAGAAGGAGTTAATAGCTTGATTGACCGACAACGAGGAGGAGAAAAGCCTCCGTGTGATTTCTCTGGTGAGCGAAGAAGCGCTTGGAAAGACGGCACTGGCAAGGAATGTTTACAACAGAGTAGACATTCGGCAGCATTTCCAGTGCCGTGCTTGGCTCCACGTCGCCAAAGATTTCACATACAAGGATCTGTTGCTTGCAATAATCAAACAGATTCCAATATGTGGCGTATTGGCTGACGTGGAGCTTATGAGCGAGCACCAACTGTCGGCTTTGCTTTTCCAGATTTTAATAGAGCTCAGGTTTCTAATAATATTGGATGGTATCTGCACCAATCATGTCTGGCTCATGGTAGCACGTCCCTTCGCTAACACCACGAATGGAAGCAGAGTCATCCTCACTACTCGCGACTCTAAGGTTGTATCCGAGGTTGACCCGTGGGGTCACCCATTGAAACTCATGCAGTTATCTGATGAGGAGAGTTGGGAATTGTTCTTGAAGGTGGTAAATGGGGCAAATTATGATAATTTGAACAATTTCAAGGTAGGAATTGTGAGAATATGTCGCGGTTTGCCTCTAGCAATTGTCCTGCTTGGAGGATTGTTGTCGAGTACACAACTGAATGATGAGTAGTCTGGTGTAATTGATCATCTTTCACAGTACTTGGGGGATGATGATCAATCAGTCGATCTCTTGACTATCGTAGCTTTAAGCTATCATGAGCTACCATATGTGTTGAAGCCGTGTTTCCTTTATTTGACTCTCTTCCCTAAAGCGTATGAGATTCCTACGCAAAGGTTGTTGCAGTTGTGGATTGCCAAGGAATTTATTCAAATATCAACTACTACCACGACTAGTGTCCTTGAACCTGAAGATCTGGCCAAGGCATATTTGGAAGAACTAGTGTCGAGAAACATGATTGAAATAGCGACATGGAAAGAAGACGGAAGCCCCAAAACATGTCGAATGTCGAGCTTTCTTTACAATGTCTTCTTGCCAAAAGCCGAGGATATAGGATTTCTTCAAATCCACCATTGTAATTCACATGTACATGAGTCTAATCAGATTATTCGGAGGCTTGCAGATCATTATGTTGGGGTCAAGTCTACTTTGGAGTCTCATACTCAGCATCTATGTTCGTATGTTTCATTCGAAGCCTAAAAACAAGGTACATCTAACAGAGAAGTCGGTACATTACTTAACACAATAATCAGTAAGAGGAGATCTAGAGGTATTGTCCTGATGAAAGTGCTTGATCTAGAGGGTGTCTACAAACCTTTGCTACCCGAGAAACTCGGCCAATACTTACAGCACCTAAGATACATAGGCTTGCGATGGACCGGTCTAGAATCATGTCTGGAATCAATTGGGGATCTACCATGCTTGGAGACTTTAGATTTGAAGTATACTAATATAACCACTTTGCCGGGTTCCATTTGGAAGGCAAAGAACCTTCGACATCTCTTTATGAACGAGGTGTCAATTACGAAGCCATCATCAAAAGAGGCTTCACCGACAAACCTTCAGACCTTAATGGGGCTCCTGCTTGGTGCTAAGGACCCTTATGAATACGGCTTAGACTGGTTCACCAGCCTTCGGAAATTGGGAGTGTCATGCCATCCAAAATCAGCAGAGAAAACAGCCAAGTGCATATTAGGACTTGACAAACTCCAAACCTTAAGATTGAGATCAAAAGATCGATTTGGTCAACCTTTAGACCTTGAGTTGAGTCCTTTGAAGGACCATCAGTCTTTTTCGAACTTATATTTGTTTGGAGTGATAAAGGATGGGATTAAATACCTTCCCCTGAATCTCAAAGTCCCAACATTGTCAATGTCAAAACTCACAAAAGATCCAATGCCAGTGATAGGGAAGCAGCTGCCTCAACTGAACGTCCTCAAGATTTTTGCTTTCTCTTATCTAGGGTCGGAAATGAGATGTGTTTCGGGGAACTTCCCTAAACTCCGCGTCTTGAAATTGTGGATGCTAGAAAACCTAGTTCAGTGGACATTGGAGGGAGGTGCCATGCCCCAACTTGTGGAGTTAGAAATTAGAGGTTGCAAAAAATTGACAAAGTTGGATGGATTAGAGCAGCTGTCTGCCCTGAAGGAATTACTTTTAACAAACATATCACCGGATTTTGTTGCAGATGTTAAAAAAGTTTGGGAAGAAACATATTACTCACCAATGAGTGGGAGCCTTCGTCCCTCGCATGTAAGTTTTCTTCATTTGTAATATACTGTTTATCATTTTTTTTTAATGAACCAAATGTGAGCAGATCACTAAGGATCTTCTAATTATTAATGTTTTTAATGAAGGATTAATGCTTGTGGATGCTAGAGACTGGAATAAAATGCAGTTTTAATTTGGGGTCAAGACTGTCAAAGCCTTCAAAGAGTTGATGTGCTGCAAAAAAAAATTGCAGCTTGTTGTATCTCTGTTGTTCACAACACTGTTCTTTTTATGTAAAATACATTGCAACTGTATTTTTAACTTGCGTTTGGCTTAATTAAATAAAATTTATTTGTATGTTCATGAAGTGGCTCATTTTTAAGGCTGAAAGACTTACAGAATTTAGAGCATTCTGACATGTAGATTTGAAAGTGAGGTTGAATCAACATGGTTCTTAAATTAAGAATGATTAATTAAAAAAAATTGACATCATGCTGATTTGTTCGTTTGAATGAATTCAGTCTTTCATGTAGGAGATTCACAATAAGTTTTGATTTCACCTTTATCGGTTGCAGCATATATATTATGAGCCAATTTAACATTTCACCACTTGTGGCATTAGTCGAAAAGAAAAACAAAAAAGAACTTGGCATTGAGTGAGGCTTCTTCTTCTTCTTCTTCTTCTTCTTCTTCTTCTTCTTCTTCTTTCTTGGTTGAGTATACATGCTAGTCATCAGAGGATTTTGTTTTGTTTTGTGTTTTTGGATATATTTTGACACTCTGTTTTGTATCGGTTTGTGGCTTGGATGCTTCAGATAATCTACATTTGTATTTTTTTTTTTTTTTTTTGATCATAGAATGCCCGAAGGCTAAAAAAAGGAGGTTCTGTGGAGGCATCACGACCTCCGCAGGCCCAGGCCCCTGGGTACCCGGTTGCCGGCCTGATTTAACCCAACCCATAGGAAGGGACCTACCACCAAGGCACCAGTGGAGCTCATCAACCGCCCCAGCCATGGACAAGTACGATCGGAGTACAGCACGAGGTCTTAGGAAAGAGCCCCTGAAAAATTCAGGATTTTCGCGCCTCCCAGGAGTCGAACTTGACCCATGGCTGTGGGAAGGCAATGCCTTCACCACTGGGCCAC